CTGCAGGCATTAGAGTTGAACCCTTTGTGTCTCTGGCAAGATGTTCTGCTCCTGAATCACCTGGGTGGGTCTTACCTCTAGCTTCTTTGCAGGGAGTTCTGCTGAAGGGTTCCGTGCTGGGCCTGGAGTCTGGGTCTGTTCAGGATCCCACCATGCCCTGGGTCGTCTCACTCACTCGCCAGGACTGTGCTTTGGGTCTGTTCAGGATCCCGCGGCCCTCAGTTGGTAGTCTCACTCACTCGCCAGGAGTGCGCTCTGGGTCTGTTCAGGATCCCGCGGCCCAGGTCGTCTCACTCACTCTCCGGGCCTGTGCTCTGGGTCTACTCAGGATCCCGCGGCCTGGGTCGTCTCACTCACTCCCTGGCCTGCGCTCTGGGCCTATTCAGGATCCCGCCCATCCCCGGGTCGTCTCACTCACTCTCCGGGCCTGCGCTCTGGGTCTGTTCAGGATCCCGCGGCCCCAGGTCGTCTCACTCACTCCTGGGCCTGCGCTACTTTTCAGCATTTTAAGGTGAAGAGTTTTTATTGAAGTCTTTCCCCCTCCAGATGATCCTACAGGACTGCAGCTGCATCAGCAGCAGTCAGACCAAAACTGTTCATAAAGTCCAGGCTTGTGTGTGTGGCAGTAGGCTAAAGTACTCTGTTGAGATAATAAAAGTTTATAGAGAATTGAAGGCTTTGAGGGGTGACCAAATAGCTCAGTGGATTAAAGCACCTGCTTAGGCAGGCACAGGGGCTGGGAGTTTGATCCCTGGGCCTGCTGTGCCGGCCCCACCCCTGGGACACCTGGGCCTGCTAAGATGGTGATTGAGACTGGATGTGGTGGTACACACCTCTAATCCCAGCACTTGGGAGGTTGTAAACAATAGGATCACTATGAGTCTGATCTACACAATAAGACCCTGTATACCCTGTCCTAAAAAATACGAAAAAAACCCACCAACAACAAAAAACCCAACTGTAGGCTTTGAAAGAGGCACTCACAAACTTGTTCATTTCATAATGATTCTTTTTTTTGGCGGAACCAGGGATTGAACTTAGGCCCTTGTGCTTTCCAGAGAAACACTTTGTTCTACTGAGCTATCTCCCCCATCTCTCATTTCATAATGATTCTGTGAAGTATGTGGAATGTGCCTGCATGTTCTGCCTGAAGAAAGCAGGGTGGCAAGTCCCTGTGGTCTGATTCCAGAGCCTTTACACTTCTTCCCTTCCCATGTCCCCATCACCTGACCTTGGGGATGCAACAGAGACCTTGATTTGTCACCCGGCATTGCTACTTGGAAGCTCTGTGACCTGGTGAAGGCCCATTTCCTCACCTTCCATGGTTTTTCCATGAAGTGGGCGCAGCACCTCCCAATGCACAGATCTGTTCCTGTGAAACCTGCACCATGACTGTAGTGCTTGCATATGAGCGGGTACCTGGTATCACCACTTCTTTTCTGCCTAAGAAAGAGCTAAACAAATCATGGTCTCTGCAGTGTTTCCAGGGAGTACCAGACTCTTGTCCCTGGTCCCCACTGCCTGCTTGGGCTTCAGGTCTTCCTCCCCTTGACTAGAGGCATACCTGTTGCTTCAGGTGAGGCCTCAGGAAGCTGGCAATTCCTGCAGATGTGTTGAGAGCCTTCTTACATGCCAGAAACTCAGATGCAGTGGTACCTGTTCAGAGAATCCAGTGTCCCATAGGGGAGGTGACACCTGACCTGTGAGACATTAACAGAGTGATATGATTGATTTTATAGCTGTTTGTCCATGCCTTTGAGTATTCTAGAGTGCCATCACAGGCCATGCATGTTGGCAGCCTCAGTGAGCTTCCCAGGCTTCCCTGCCATCGTCCTGAGTGTTTCCTGTGTCCCCTCTGCTGCTACATGCATTTGACCATTCATGACCTCTGGAACCTTCTCAGGTCCTGCTGACTTTAGGCTGTGGTCAAGGCTGTGTCATTGAGGCTTCTGCCTATCACCCATCTCATCTCATGACAACCTTCATGGCACAGATGCCACATGTTGTCCCCTGTCTCTGCCCTACACATGCCTTTCTGGCTGTCTCTGGCTTGTGCATTATCTACCTGTCTGGCTCCTCACTTCAAGAAACCCTCCCAGCCCCTTGCTCTGTCATGTCTGCCTCTCCTGGGCTCAGGTCTGGCCATCCTCCTGGCACCTGTGAGCTGGAGGGGATTCCTGGTTTGTGAATCTGCCGGCTTGTGTCCTCGGGGTCCGCAGTCTACTTTAGCACAGCAGCCATGCCTTCCACATCTCTGTACCTACCATATTTACCTGTGCTGGCTACTGCAGGGTTACGATGTGTGACTGTGGACTCTTCCTGTCTAAGAGAACTTGGTGGGGGTAGGGCTTGAGTGGAAGCCATGGAAATGACTTCCATGAAACCTGGGGGGACTGGAAGCTATCCCCACTTTCCTTGCCTTACCTAGATTCCAGTGTGATTCCAGCCTCTTTGGAATGTTCCTCATGTCATGGCCTGTCCTCAAAGATTCCTCACTCTTCTTCCTAGAACAGACAGACACTCTTTCCAGTATGTGCTCCCACTTTGTGCTGTAGCTTCCTGCTATATGTTACCTCTTATGGAAAGGTTTATTGCACCTATTATGGACCCTGT